CAAGGGCTGTAATACAAATCTGTCTCCACTGCCTTTGGACCTCTCTCCAATCACTTTCTCCACGTTTTCGTTCTTGTCTCGACCAGGCTCTCACATGTTTTCCAGTCATTCGGTCTTGTGGTACTACCGGTACTTTCTCGCTTCTTTTTGTCCCCCTCCGTTAATAGTCCTGCAGTGTCTTCACCTCTGAACATGCTCTCTCACCCACTCACACGATTGCCAAAATGGTAATGTTCCTGGCATCTATCCTGTAGAGCCAACAGGGGGCTTAGCACCATGCTATCATGAGTAATTGAAATAATCAACTCCATCGCTAATGACTCATCTCCTTGGCTCTGGATGTTAGTCTCCTGGTCGTTGAAAGTGCAGTGGAGGAGGTGCCAGTGCCGGGAGACATTTCCCAGCACATTCCTCAGACAGAAGGGAGAAAGAGGGAGAGAAATAGTGAACTAAGCTAATGTGAGTCAACCATTATGGAAAACGTCAAGGATTTTCCCTTCAGGCATTATGGCCCTCTTGCACAACTCTCTTGCAGCTAAATGACTGAGAATGACCGAGAATGACTTGAAAGATGGGATGAGGAATAAATTGAGGTTACAGCTTTGACATGGCGAGTAATAAATTTACAACCAATGTAAGTATTTCACACTGGATGGGTTATTTTTGTCCGATACCCCCACACACATTTTAGCTGTAGTGGTGGTGGGGCTATGGCTTGAGGACTGTTAAGTGGAGATGCCTGGAGTGTGTTTGCTCGGGAGAGCTCAATCATGCAGGTTGTTTGCACAACAGGCCTCCTCTGCACTGTGGGAAAAGTCTCACATGGTCGTCTGCCTCCCTGCTTGCCTGACTGACTGGAGAGTATGATGATGAGAGTGTGTGAGAAATGACTCGACGCAGAATGCCATGCTCTTCTAGCCCCACCCCTTGAGCTCGTCAGTGAAACAAGTTTGAACAGCTTCAACAATGTAGGAGGGAACAGAGTCAAGAGAGGCAGACAGAGTAACATCGCAAAAGTTGGTTGGTTGATGCAGCTTGTCTTAAGTTATGCAGGGAATTGCCTTGCAGACAGCTGAGAAGGTGTGTGCGTGTGTGTGTGTGTGTGTGTGTGTGTGTGTGTGTGTTTGTTGGGGTGGCTGTTAACATATTTGTGTGTATTTCTGTATGTGGAAGACAAAATACGAGATACACCGCGTCAGAACACGTCAACTGACACTTGGGGAGAAAACACTCTCTGAGGCTCTCTCTCATACACACACATGCATGTCTGACTGCCTAACAGGGGTACAAGGATAGTACATATAGTGGAAGACGCGTGCAGACATGACAAACATTCGAGGCACTCTGGAAACACACACGCAGGAAACGTTATAAAGACAGAGTGGCTGTGCACGTGTCTTCACATAACTACAGGTGGTGCTGTAAGCCCCAGCCAGCAGCCACGGTGGAGCAGCTTATGGGGGGCTGGCTTTTCAGGTTAAGGAAGTCATGACATGCCCCTCCAGCAGGCCCATAAATCAGCTGGCTCAAACTCACTAAAGATGGCTCCTGGGAGAGAAAGACATGGAGCACACACACACACACACACACACACACACACACACACACACACACACACACACACACACACACACACACACACACACACACACACACACACACACACACACACACACACACACACACACACACACACACACACACACACACACACACACACACACACACACACACACACACACACACACACACACACAAGCTCCGGCAGCAGTCAGCTCAGCTCACACATACACTCAGTATACACATGCACAATGCTTGCATGCTAGTAAAACACACACACACACACACACACAGCAGGAGTGCAGGCTGTTATGTAAACGGCTGTGGAAATTTTAGCCTAAGGCACGACATGCCACACCTCCTACTATGTGGTCGAGTGTGTGTTTGTGTGTTTAAGGTGTGAATGTTGTGAATGTTGTGTAATCAAGGGAGTAATTGTATCTTATAAACAGTACATCCGGTTTGAACACAAAAGTAACTTCACACGTCTTTCAAAACATTTTTATCTTTTGTGATTTAATAATGAGGCAAAGCTGTTCAATAGTCGCTTTGTTCCAACCCAGGGTTAGGCCTCAGACTTGTTGTAGCTATGCAGCATTTTCATTCTAGGTTTTAAAACTGTGGTAGTAGGTATGAGAAGCATTGGTCCAAGCCCTACTTGGAACACAAAGCAGGCGTATGTCAACAAAGCAGAGAATGATTTTGAAATGCGCTGTCTCTGTGGAAAATAAAGTTCTAGAAGAAACTTTTCAACGAGTTTTAGACTACAAAGAACTTCTGACATACTTTACATATTTCCATGAAAAATAAGATGAGTGAATAGTATAGCATATGCAGGGGGAAAAAAGACATAGAGACATCTGATTGAGTGTTTATTTCAAAAACGTTTTTCCCTCATATCTATAGAGGGAGCTGTCTCTTTTGGATCACGTCGCTTTGCAGGCTGTCAGGCAAAGGCATGTGGTCATTATGTCCTATAAATGCAAAATCATCAGAGAGACAGGAATAGTGTGTAATCCTTTCTAATCAGTATGAGTACAGACTGACCTCAAACTGTAATTACTATTTAAACTGTTGTCAGAGTCCAAGTCACTGTTCAAATTGAATGGACAGGCCATCACGTCAGAAAAAAGTAATCTGTGACTGCTGCAATACAACGTACATAACGTGTTTCGCTAATCTCTTAACAATACATTTTCCTGTGGTTTTTCTGATATACCGACATTGTTTGATTGCAATGTTTTGCAGGTTTTTGAGCTAAAAGGTAGTACATTAAGTCTGCTTTATGAGGCTGTTAATTAACACTTATATGAATTTAACCGGTGGTAAATTTGCCCTGACGGTTTTAAGCAGAGAAGTTTCTGTTGTGTTGTGAAGCTTTGGGTTTTGTGTCCATCTGCACCACGGTAACAAAACCTGTGAATAGAAAAGAGTGAGGCTCCGAGAGCCACGGCTTGAGTCAGAGAGCTGAAGAAATCGCAGGCGGAAGTGTTGTTAACAGTGCAGGTTGTCATCGAGTAAAAAAAATGTTCTTGACTGAAGAGGTTAAAGAGAAAAGAGATGAGAGGGAGAGAGGGGCGATAGTGACAGAATGACACAGAGAGAGATGCGAGCCTCTAGCTTCACATGAGCAGTTTGGTCCTTTCTCTGCTTCAGTGCGGCAGCCCGTGCCGTGCTCCCTCTCTCTCCTTTTTAGCCAACTATTCTGAGTGTGCAGTTCTACCTGACCGATATGCTGTCAGAATGAGAGATGCAGCAATTACACTACATCTATAGTCAGTATACTGATGAATTGGAGAATGCACCCAGCCTTGCACGGAGAAAGCAATTCAAAGACCCTAATGCTCATTTCATTACTGAGATACCCTTGGGCATGGTGCTTCACCCAAAACGGCACCATTAAGGCTGGACTGGGCAGCTTGCAAGTGTAACAAGGTAAACTCAGCAACACAGTTTGAGCTTCTAATAAGGAACCTATTAAACATAAGATTGTTTTTTTGTTGGTGCAGTCAGTCAAACTACAGCAAATCTTCATCAATTTGAATGGTCTGTGACTTCAGTCAGACATTGCTGTCTTTGCAGAAGAATTACACAGATATCTTTAATCTTTCTACCTTTAAAAACATCATCCATGGAATGATAAGTCAATGGATCATTATTTATAAATAGGACAAAAGGATGACATTAGAGCACTGTCAGTCAAGTCTAACAAAAGAATAAAAAAATGACAATCAATCGATGTGATGGATAACAGCGAAGTCTGAAAACAACACCACTTCAGGTTTCAAACAGGAGCAACCAAAAACAACAAAACAAAAACAGAAGACTTCTTTAGATCAAACAGACAATGGCTGCCAGCAGAGTTTATCCAGTCAATACAGCCAAAAACAGAACTGTTTCAAACTGAATATAAAAAGCTAAGAAATATTTGGAATCAGTTCAAGATTCAAGAGGTACGGAAAGCATTTCTGTCTTTTTTTTACTTTCTTTACAGCTTCCTCCACCTGAGAGACGTGATAAATCTTGAGTTTTTGTACTCAGCTGAGGCAAAGAGTGGACCAGAGGTCAAACCAGTAAGACAGATGAAAACAACAGATTGTCTGGAGGCCCATTAAAGGAAAATTGCTGCGGAGGGACAGAGACATTCATGTCCTGCCTTTGTGGGAGCAATCGAGCGAGTGTGTGTATGTGTGTTTTTATATTAGTACAGTATGTGCAGGAAGGTGAAATCTACCAGTGTATTGGTTTAATTATATTGATCCTAAATTCTGATACCTCACAGTCATTCCAGTTCCACAAACATCCATTTGAGGTCTGATAGTCATACAAACAGATGCCACATGTTTTGTTTTCTTCACATTTTTCATCATTTCAGCTCTCTTTCTACACATTCTTTGTTCTCTGTCATCGCTCTGCTCTCTTAGCCGCAGAGTAAATGTGAGCTGTGACAAATGCCATGTGGAGAATGTGGTTCGGCTGAATTCTTATGTTAGCACACTGCTATTGTTGTCTCAGAAAAAAAGGCTTCCTGGAAATCCCAGCAAGTGGCTGTCTCCACATGCAAAATATTCAGCAGAAAACAAACATTTGTGTCTTTAAATCACTTGCGGGCTAGTATGACATCTGGGGGCAAAGTTACCACTTTTGAAAATGTTTTGACATCTTTCATGGCACACAGGTCATCTTTGCTTAGCTGCACCTGTCATGTAAAGGGGCATTAGGCCATCTGAGCTTCTTCATTAATTCCCAGCTTTGAAACAAAAGGGGCGAATCACGCTGCATGCTAATTAATACTCCACTAGGAAGTCAGTAAGGACAGGAAAGAAAGAAAATAAATGATTTGTCACTTATCCTGCGATTACAGGCGGTGTGAAGGTAGATGGGGGAGCTGTGTGACATTAAATAAAGATTGACATGAAACTGGAGAAACATTGATCTACCTGCCATCATCTTCTGGGCCTCGTATGGCTCCATGTAGCCGTCATTCTCGGTTGTCACTTTTTCCGTAGTGGTCTGAGTGCCACCAGCCTGCTCGGCATCGAAAGGGTCCGCATAGTCTTCAAGAATAATGAGCTGCAGGAGAGAGAAAAAAACAAGGAATGGTAAGACAGAGGGTAGGAAAACATTGAAATAGCAAGAGGAGAAATCAGTTTGCCGCTCTGTTGAACATGACAACATGGGTAGATGTCAGGAGGGTTGTATGACAGATACTGTTGTGGCCCAGGACAGGACCAAGTGATTTCCACCGAGGCAGGCTGGAAGATAAAAGGGCAGAAACACATAAATAACAGCCCACCTCTGTGTGCCTCAACACACCAGCACAATGCCTCAGCTTTTAACCTTCCAGCACGCTCTCTGCTGCTACTACTGGTCACCCTAATTATATGATAGCCCAGTGACAGGCCCACATTTCAAAAGTAGAAGGAAGGAGCCACTACTGCTTAACTTTTCTTAAGAGGAACAATTTGGCAGATTTATGCCCAGGTGGCAGTGAGCCACGGCTAATTGCAGTCTTGCTCTTTTGCTGAGTATTTTCTGCAGTATATGGCAATTAGGTGGATGTCCCAAGACCCAGAAATACCGCTTAAACCTTTAGGGAGAAGAGCAACAGTCCGTGTCCTGCTTTTTGGGATACTTGTTTTCTTGATGTTTATGTGCTTCAAAAGTTAAGATCCCCAATTCTAAAAGAAATGAAACTTCCATCTAAGCCATCTGCCCTTTTGCACATTGGATCTTATGATGGGTTTTGAGTGCAGAGGTTCAGGTCAGCTGCTAGAAAAATTACTTTTTCTGCTGAGGCTCCTGATTGTGCAGTCCTGTCGATCAGAAGAAGCAGGAGAAGGGCCTTGCTTGCAGTCGGCAACAAGAACAGATTTAGGAAAAAAACAAATGAGGAAATGCTTATGCAAACAACTAAGCTAGCATAAAAACACAGAGATGACTGGCACTACACCCTATGAGTCATGCATAACAGGAAGGGATTTGGTCTCATTACAAACAAGCTCATCACTCATCTGGTGGATAGGGCTGGGCGGGGCAGAGTGGAGGTGGACCAAGACTCTTGCCCACTGTGCTGTTACTCAAGCTTGCCAAGTGGAGGGTATAGGTGGAAGCATCTTTGCCAAGGAGAGTAGAAGCTCCCTTGAAGTAAGGCCACCGTATGAGACAGACACATATACTGACACTTACATGCACCTGCCAAGCCTCAGGGGAACAAGTATAATGTACAGAAATAACCTTTTAAGTGTTTGATATCTCTCTGGCTGGGAAAGCACCCACATTTCTACGGTACTATGAGGACAAGCGACATCCAAGTCTCAAGTCAGACATAAAAAAAAAAAACCTAGAAGTTACCATTTTAAAGCTTGCTTAGGTTGCTTACTGACAGGGAATTGCAGCCGGTATATTTCTGCACACACCATGTTCCCTATATGTGAATTAGGCAATGATAAAAAAGTATTAGTAAGTACTTTTGGATGTGTTTCAGAGCAGAGCAGCTACTGTGTTAAATCTCCTTCTTCAATATTCCCCTTCCATCTGTTTTGGGGAAAAGTTTTTTTTTTCTGCCACAGCATAATTATGGGTTCCTCGAATGTTTTGCTTCTGTGAGTTTAAGCTGGAGGAAAATATCCAATACAAACATTTTTTCTGGGTTGTTTTTGTGCCACACAAATATGCACAATGTGCTCACAAGCTAATGAAATTCTGCTAAGCAACATCTTCCAAGCCCAAGAGACCCCAAAACTTTCTGCACATTATGCATTTATGCAATAGTGTCATCGTCATCTAATCTTGCACCTTGTTGCAAAGAATCTCATCTCATGAGGAATCATAGCATACTGTATGCCAAAACCAAACTCAGATACAGTCACTGCAAACACAGTCCAAACTTAGAATAAGTAGCCCTCACTATGAAAACATATGAATCATCTTAATGGGAGGCATGAAGACCAGTGCCCATTTGACTGTGGTTGACATGATTTAACAGAGTGGCTCAATGTTTAGGACCAGAACCCGCAAATGAGATAAAACACTCCAAATACTACATCTTTCATTCTCCTTTGGATCTAAGATGACTGCAGGAGTTTATGCATTGAAGGTTTCTGCCGAGCTTACACCTCAACTTCATGCAGCTTCATGAGCCAAAGGATCCCTGCATGTTTCAGGAAATAATGGCACAATTACATGACTTCATCTTGTGCCTTTCCTGCTGACATAATGTAGGAGAAAGGAAGGACTTCCGTGATTAAAACAAATCAAAGCTTGGATTTGGGACTCAGACATTTAATTTTGTTGGGCCTTTAGTTTGTGCCTCCAATCCAAAAGGCTACAAATGGCTACACATGGTTAATTTTTTATGGCTTGAAAACTGTGTGGTATAGAGGGCAGAGAAGGTATACAGCACTTGAATTCTAATATATGTGCTTTATTGTTGTCCCAAACACTGAAAATCAGGCTAAATCAAAGGCTAATAGCTCTGGTCTGATAGCAAAACAGGAACAGCTAATCAGTCTCAATCAGTCTCTTCTATGCTCTTAACATTTACTACAGGCTGAGCCAATATTTTCAAAACTGTTGTTTTTACAATTGTAAGTCTTAAAATGTTTAGTTTTGAAATATAAAATTCTGATGTGACACATTAGAGATGATCTACAATCAAAACTGAAGTAATACATTCACAGCTGTTAACACTGTGAAATGCTTAATTATGTCCCCTGAGTGCAAATAAACTTAAATAAGGCAACAAAAGTTTATGATCAAACAGCTTACTCTCCCAAAACACTAAAAGGTTTTATTCAGCTTCATGTTGTGCAGTAAAATCTCGCTTCAGCACCTGGCTCAGCGGGAATAGTTTTATCCTGTTATAAGCAAATTAAAGCTGATGACAAACAAGTTCCCAGTCTGACTAACTTTCAATCATAATGAAACAAAAAGAGGTTGGTCATGAATGAATGAAGAGTCCTCATGCTGTTTCACTTTCATTTCGAACGATTGGGCAAATGTGTTACTGAAAGCACTACATTATGGCAGCAATACAGATGGCTGACAGGAGTTGTTTGTTTGAGAAGTACTGAGCTGTATGGTCATAATCAGCTCTAACGTGTATCTTATTAATTCTTATTGTGATAAGTGATTTTGTTATTATCTTTAGAATACACAGATTACTCCAGGGCATCTTGGGGTTTGAACCATTGCGTGTTTCAGAAAAGAACCATCACAAGGCCCCTGCTGCCTACCTCATGTTTAGGTGGAGGTGGTAGTTAGTATTTCCAAATTGCCCCGATGTGTCCTTCCTGTCCCGCTGCATTGATGACCATTCGAAAGCAGGAGGAGCATGAGGGTTTTGAGGAGAGGGGTGCTGCAGAGCCGGGGTGTCGCCTGGGGACACACCATCTGCATGCCAGGGTGTGTCAGGACTGCAGCCAAGCCACACTTACAGCAATATTACCCCTCAGCACAAGACTGCAGCGCCTCTATACGTCAAGTCTTTGCTAAGCCACACTCAAAAGCCAATGTGAATCTAACAAAGCCACCTCACAGGCTTAGGCCATGTCCCTGCGTTAGCTGGGTCCACTACTGTTCTGCAGCATAGAGAGAGAAATCACTCAATTAGTTTCTTTCCAGAGCTCAGATCCCAGGTTGGCCATGTCTTACACCTGCCAGAGCTCTGGCTGCAGACTTCTTGACATTCGGTGCAGCTCTCAGACGACAAAGCTGCCTTCAAATCAGTAGGAATAGAGAGGGAACATTAGTGAAGAACAGCGACTATAACAGGCACCTGCCACTTTGGCTTATTGTTCCAAAATCTGAGCGCTGATTACAACTCGATTGGGCCCTGAGCTTCCATTAATGTCTCTCTTGCACTCTTAATGTTTTTCTGGCTTATAAAGATAATCACAGGCAAAGGAATCAATTTCATAAACTAAATTAGTTGAAATTTGAGCTACATTTTATGTCTCTTTGTCTGCTTTTGGGCACGATACATGTCTAATGTAGGCAGAAACCATTTAAATCCTATGAAACACAACAGGCTGATAACATTAGCATTCTGAAATAATCAGATAAACATCTTCAGACATAATTCTAAATTAAAACAGAGTTAGAGCTCATGTAGCATTGGTGCAGACATGGATAACAAATTATTCATGTCATGGATGGTCCAGAAAGGAATGAATGCATCAGGGTCTAGTCAAGGTTGAAGCCCCTTTGAGGCTGCCAGAGAAGTCAGCAGTCTGTACAATGAAGGGGGCGGAAAGAAAAAAAACCAAGAAAGAAAGAGGACTGACATGTGTGATTTATGTCTCATGCCACAAGGGATTTCAGCCACCAATAACCTAATACAACTCAGTGCTTAGCAGCTCAATTGCATTAAGGCATTTTAAAAGGACGCTTTTTGTGGCTATGGCTCTTTTGTTCTTTAGTGTAATAAATAAAGAAAACACACAACTATTGTGAGGACAGAGAGGAAGGGAGGGAGAGAAGACAAAAGATAAGGGGGGATTTTTACAACATATTTCTACAAAAGAAAGCTGCCATGGATAAAGCATGTTTACTCCTGTTTGATGGAATGAATGCTGAAATGTTCATGTAAAAGCCAAAGTCAGCAGGTTGAGCATCATTCAAGTGCCAACGCTGATAGCTCCTCCGCCTTATCTCAGTCCATGAACACAGGATGAATGTTTGTGTTCACTGCAAAGTCATCTGGAGATAACTTGGCCATAGTTTTCTCGTAAGAAACACTCTCGAAAGGTAATTTATATAAGTGAGAATGTTTACTTCTCGGTTGACATAATGCAGTTACCATCAATGAGATTCTTTCAAGATCCTAAGAAGAGAGCCAAAATCTGGTTACCATTCAGTGAAGGCCTCTTCAGAAGACTGAGCCCCTTCAACTCTCTTGAAATGTTTCCTAAGAAACACTGTTGCTGCTTGAACTTCTGCCCTCATGTGAGCTTGGAAGAGAGATGTATCTTCACTAAAGGCCCACTGAGCAGTCTGCAGACATAGCTATAATCAAATTATTAGATTTGCTGTAAAGACGCCTTTTCGCAATCAGTCACACACAACTGCAG